CAGCCTAGGCCATTCTATGATTTTATGAAATCAAAAACCTAAAAGAAAGCTATTGAAATGTGGGCATTCATGCAATGATACGCCTTAAACAGATGTTCAGCTTTTGAATGTGTGGGTCACTAACAAGTAAGGAGCCAGGTAACATCCATCCCTCCACCCAGCAGGATGTCCACATGACCACAACTTGTTTCTAGTGTTCAAAATCTCAGCTGCAACTGAACTGCCCAGAAAATAGCAGAATTGCTGGTAGAGAGGAAAGAGATAAACTATTTTAGGAACTGAAGTTCAGCCTATTTTTTTTGCAGATGTGAAAGATCAGTATTACATATCTCTTGCATGTAAATGTAATTTACTTTTGCAGAGAATTCTGCACATATGATTTAAGCAGATTTTTTTTTCCTGTCACTGTTAAATTAGCCCACATTCAAGTTTGACGGTATTGCCTTTTCCCACAAGTCTCAAACACCTCAAGTTAATAGGAATTCACATTTCTAAATACTATGGTTTCTTCAACATATGGAATTGTGGATACCAGGAATTTTCTAAGAATTTAAACACTGCTTGCAAAACTGTCTGAGGAAGTGTGCTTCTCTGAAAAAAACAACCAACAAACCAACAAAACTCTTAAGCTATTTTAAATACATTAATTCTTGTCAATGGCTTCCTCAAAAGTTTTCTCACCCAACAAGCAGACACATATACAGTTCCAAGAGGATCAGCCCTTGTTTTATCAAGAGGACAATTAGGAAACCCAAGGGCTATAAAACACTTTTGTGAATTGCCATCCTGTAGGTCAGCTAACTCCCCTCTGCAACTCTTTTCCCTGCCTTTCAGCTCCAGAAGCTGCAGCCCAGGAGAGTAAAATGACAAGCTGCAAGACTTATATGGTAAACACCTGCAGACTTTGGACTGCAGGCTGAATTTCTTTTTAGCTGATGCCCAAACCTGCAGACAGCTAACAGGGCCACCAGCAGCTACTGCTCCCTTCAAACAGCATGACGGACATGTGGCAATGTGCAAAAGTAAGAAAAATTGCATTCATCAAAACACAATTCCTTGGTTATTTTTAAAACACATCACTGCATGTAACTAGAACTATTTTGTACGCCCTTCTTCTTTGCCCCAGGAAGCAGGAACCTGTAATCCTGAAGGGACCAAAGGGAGGGAGCACCTGCACCACACCACCAGCAGCTTAAAATTTACGTACGTGCTGTATCCTATCTTCTCTCACAATCCCTTCCTCCCCGACCATGGATCCCCTCTGCTATGTCCTCCTGTCCCTCCACTGCTTCCCAAAAATGTTTTTGTAGGAATACTACTACACATGGAAAAAGGTTGATTAAACAGGAACTGTAGGTGGTCTTGTTCTTCCTCCCCTGCAGTTTTTGTATCAACACCAATCCCCATCTTTTTGTTTTGATCCTTCTGTACTGCAGAGCCTGTCTTTGAGAGACTCCCCAGCTACAAGTGAACTGCCAACGCCGGATGCATTATGCCAGAAATACTTCTAAAATCTGCTAGAAAAAAAACCCACAATGTAACCCCAAACAACTACACCCTCAGCATTAAAAAAAAAAAAAAAAAAAAGACTCTCTTGCTGGCAGAGTGGTGTGAAACAAGAAAAAAAAAAAAAAAAAAAAAAAAAAAAAGTAATGTCACTTTCTGTACTCCCCTTCTTCCACTGACATAAAACAGCATTAACCAGAAGATCCATCCACAAGTGGACTGACACCTGACCATTCTGGCAATTTTTAAAAAGCTGTTCTTAACGAAAGCTGATGATTTAATGGTTCTTATTCTCACGCCACTGCACCATAGACAAAAAGATGGCGTACTCAGCGCAGAGGGCGAGAAAGCTAGAGATTAAGCAATTTGTGCAGCAAAACTGGAGAAGTCTGGAGAATGAAAATCCATCATATCTGAAGAAACCAGGAACAGAGAAGCGGTACCCCAAGATCCCTCAGGAATAAAACCCCAACGCTTGGTATCAATATATCCAGGCAGCTAAGCACTAACGGGATTCACACAGCACTTCTAGGACCGCAACGTCATAACCAACACTCTCGGAGGCAAAGCTCTGCCCTGAGCTGCCAGGGTAGCGCTGCACACCTAAACCTTGTCAGCTGCACACGTGCCCGATCTCCTCATCTTCCACTATGGATTCTTCTGCCTTGAACAGTTTAACTGCATTGTCAGTAAAACTGGGATATTCCTCATCCCAATTCTCTCTTAAAAGAGAAAGAACTCAGTAGCTCATTTGAGAACTGTAATTTCTAGATTTGGGTTTCTAAAAAAGAAAAAAACCCAATAAGTTCCCTACCAATACATCAATTCCAGGTTATAAAATAAAATCAAATCAGTCTGATTACCTTTCTGTGTAGGTAGTTCCAGCATTGTTGACTGATGCATGAAACAGAATTCTGAAGTACAGGACAAAACAGTAGTAAATTACATTGAAATGCATTTATAGCAAGTTTAACAGGGTTGTTATGAAGTAGACAGAAGCAACATCTTAAATCAGTTAAATCTCTGCTGCTCATCTTTTATATTTCTGTTGTTCTGGATGCTCCAAGACATGTCTTGCTTAATTTTTAGTTGATAGTTATGAACTGCTCGGCATCAAAAGGATGTGATCACATTTTGTCTAACATTAGTTTTCTCTGTGACAAGCTATTCCATTTAAATAGACTTTACCTGGCAGACAGCATTCATTACTAGAGCTGAGCAAGTTATGAGTAATGTGATTTATTCTGTAATTTTTGGCTCTCTGCTCAAAATACAAAAGAAAATACATCTTTATTAATCCTTTTTCGGAATTTTCAGACAAATTCACTTGGGTGTTTAGAGCTCACTTAGAACCTCTTGAAAGAAGTTAGCAAGCAAATAAGATCTGTAGGGGTCATAGCACAGAGGTGAAATCTGTTCACTGCCTACATATTTTTTTTCCATGTAACTCATTTCATGACCTGCAAGAGCTATCAAAAAGAACACCACAAAACTCAGTTCCAGGCTGGTCCACCAGAATCCTTAACTGAGTTTCAGGTGAAAAATTAAAAGTTTGTACAGATCATAATTACAGCAGCAAATTTCTTCAGAAACTTTTATCTGCACTTGAGGGGAAATATAAAAAAAAATTAGTAATTTTCAAATGTTTGTTCCTGCCTAAGCACAGCTTCTAAGATGTATTGCAACTGACAAAGATAGTACAAAGTGTCTTTTTGACTGGAGTGTGCAAACTTAAACTAATCACATGGACTAAGCTTGTAAACATGCTAGTGGGTATGACTGAAACAGAAAGGTAATCAACCAAAAAGTGAACACCTACAAACTGAGAAACCAGATAACAGCTAAAGTTCTTTTTTTTTAAAAAAAAGGCAATAAAAAAAAAGCAACCCCCAAAAATCCCATCCTCCCCTCAAAAAATACCCAAACCCAAGCCACCACACCCTACCAGTTACACCATACAAACAAACCACAAAAATCAGAAATGCTTCCAATTTCAGAATTAAATCAAGTTCTTACTTGACCTAAACAGCGATAAAACTGCTTTTTCTTCGTGCTGTAGCTTGGTTAGAGAGTTCAGTCCAGCTCCAGACTCTACCTGGTAATACACTCACCAAACTTTCACATGGAGCGGACAGAAATTCTACTCATTAAATGCCTCACATACCACTACTTCAGCCAAGGAGGTACCCCCAGTGCTTCCTAGATCTGCTCCAAGTACTTCAGCCACAGATCGAAGAGTAAAAGGGAAAGTTGATTATTTTTGTAATCAAATATAATCCACATGTAGTATTTAAAAATCAAGACTAAAAGCAGGCATCATTTAATGTATTTTAATAGCAAACTTACAGGAACAGCACAGAAGACAGACAACATTAAAACATGTACTTGCATGTAGGACAACTCAGTTAGAAAAGTATAGTGAATGGATGGAATCTACTGTATGATAAAAATGCTACAAACACCATTTAGTTGCCATTGATAAGAAATTTACTTGTTTAAAAAAATCCAAATGCTGGCATTGTCCAGAAAAATTTGACAGGTTTATTTATAATTTTTTTTTTATAAAGTTGAATTGCTGAAACTTTTTCACTGAAACATTTTTTTTTTGACCACATTAATGTTTTATGTCCCCTCATTTATATTAAAAATCCACACACAAATGAAAATGGAAAAAAACTTGCCAATTCCCAATTCTGTCCCCTATTTTTCCATTTGCAACCATATACTTAGGTACCTTTTAACCCCATGGAAAAAATATCTAACGTTCATTACTACCAATAACAGGAAGAAGATTTTGCTTCGAGAATGACGAACCCATCAGAGTGAAGTTTAGGCACGCTCTCCACGTATGCGGCGTGCTAGCTGGATATCTTTTGGCATGATTGTGACACGTTTGGCATGGATAGCACACAGGTTGGTATCTTCAAACAGGCCAACCAGGTAGGCTTCACTTGCCTCCTAGTGTAGAAGAAAAGAGTTAAGAACACTTTCAGTCTGAGCAATAGGATAACAACAATAATAGTTCAGAGTACAACGTAACATGGCATTAAATTCACATTTATTGCTCACAAACATCCAAAGTTTTAGATTCTCAAAAAATAAATCCTCCATTTTCTTATAAACCACCAAATACTATTCTATGTCAAAGTTACATACTACCACCCTTTGCTGAAGACATCCTCCAGTATATAACTGAATCAATATTTTGATGGGATCTTCACAAGATAGGGGGTTGTCTTATCCTAAGGTCAGTTTGTTTAGGAACTTCTTACACTGTTTGAGTGCCTTGTCTGCTGCCTCTTCCAGAGAGTAAGAACTATACCGAGCATCAGATGAAACTGAGAGGTGCCAGGGAAAAGAAGAGCAGGTATTGCTTCACCACACAGAGTTCGAGCACACAATTTCTTGCCACAGAATACTGAAGAGGTGGCTAATTCAGAAGAAGTTAGCCAAAAAAACCCAAAAAGTATTGGGAATTATTAGAAATGAGAGAACACTTCCTTCAACTCAGGAACTCCTTGAATCACCAAAAATGGCACAGGAATCGTAAAACTATCACTAGATACTTGTCCTACACTTCCATACATTACATATTCCTATACTATTCCTGTCTAAGCATCTTCTGTCTATTTGAGGAACACACCACAGCCTCCCCCAGCTACCACAGAAGGTCCTCACCTCACATCCCAGAGAATCATAGGGTCAGCACTCAGGAGTGCAAAGGACAAGCCCTTTCCTGGGGAAAACCACAACCCTGACCGCCGTACTTTCCCTGTTACTGAACCACTGCAGGCAGGATTCTGGGTTAGACAGATGCTCAGGCGGACCTAATTCTTCTTCTGGATCATGCCAAGTTAGCTGCTATTAAGCCCAGCCCAGTAGTAGCGACTGCTCACACATTTTTAGGTTGACACAGAATTCTAACAACTATCCATCTCCTAGCAGATATCTTGGCATGCCAGGATCAGAACAGGATGCACCACATGGCTGGAGTGGGAAAGGAGGAGTGACGAGGCTCACTTACAGAAAAAAAGTTGACGTCTCTCTTTCTAAAACACATGCAAGAGAACAGCCTTCATTACCACTTCATTACCAGGAACCACAAAAACCAACTTAGTAGGTTCAATGCTCCTGTTTAAAAACACAGATTATCTAATACAAAGATAGAAAATTATTTACTACAGCAGATGAGGACCGTAGTATTAGTAAGTAATTTTGTATGCAGTAGGATATGGGTACCCCAACACAGTTTTGCAAGCTCACTATAGGAAAAGTTAAGACACTTCACCAAATGAGTCGCACTGGAACGAACAAAATGGCACTAAAGCAGTTAAAAGGCTGGGTTTGGTTTTTTCCAAATATGCAAGCAGAAAGCACTAGGAATAGTATGTGGACAAGTTCTATACCAACTCTTTAATGCAAAACATTCAAACCAGCCTTTGGGAAGTGTATTAACTACTGACTAAATTTTAATAAGCAGTTCCTGATAAAAAGACAGCTCAGAATTTAAGAAGCACCACATTCACTCACAGCAGTGAAGACAGAACAATACTAAAAGCAAAACCAGTCACTTTGCAAATACACACAGCAACCTCCCGAAACTAAGTGTGTGCTCAAGTTTATAGGACCTCATGGCATATGCCTGGGCCCTTATCAAGTGGAAGTCATGAACTAGAAAAGATCACTTTTCCTGCATAGCAGATACTGCACAAAGGTTCTGGAACAATCTTTCAACAATTAAAAGAACAGTAAAACCCTATCTTTCATCAGGAGTATCTATCACAAGAAGAAAACGTTCCCATGATAAGAACAGAGTCTTGGAGGGGATCTAACTTAACGCAGGAATTTGAGCCAGAAAGAGCAATTAGTATTTCACCCTTAATATACTCCCTACATAAGTTATTTGATTAATTTATTAAAAAAAAGTGTTTATCGTCAGCTACATCCTAAAAAGGAATTATTTCCCTAATTGTATTTAGATGTGGCTTATCAAGCTGTTTTCCTTTAAGGAGCATTTGAGGGTAGGAAGACTTCCATTTCGACACACCAGAACAAGCTTCACACAATGCTTTCCTCTCAGACTGCGCAGCTTTCTAAAGCAAAGCCTCTAACAAAGCTCCAGGGTAGAGGAAGGAGATTTATCTTAAGGGTCTTAATAAGATGCGCTCTTCTGTCAAGTGCAACTACTTGAGGGGTGGAGGCTATTAAAAAACAACCAACCAACCAAACAAATAGCCACCCCCATCCACATTTCTGTCCTTTGTAAGGAGCTGCCGAGCTGTCCCTGCCTTACTTTAGACTGTGGTACCTGTAGGGCATCACCAGGTCCAAGAGAAGGCTGAGGGGTGCATTCTGCACCCCCCATCAGCACTCTCCCTCCCCTCAGATAGGCCACACCCACCGCGGCAACCCACCAATCAGGTGGAGCTAGGGCTAACCCTAGAAACAAGCCTGGCCAATGGGGGCGGGAGGCGGAGCCCTTCCCGTACCTTCACGGGGTTTTTTGGGTTTGGTGTTTTGTTTTTTTTTTGGAGGTAAGAGGAAGGTCTCGCTGTGACAGCACCTAGCGCCTGCCTTCCCCCAGGCCCCCCTCCCACCCCGGGCAAAGCTCACCTGCAAAGCACCGATGGCAGCGCTCTGGAAGCGCAGATCTGTTTTGAAGTCCTGAGCAATTTCACGCACCAGACGCTGGAAGGGAAGTTTGCGGATCAAAAGTTCGGTAGACTTCTGATAGCGCCGGATTTCACGGAGAGCCACGGTACCCGGCCTTTTGAAATTAAATAATAAAAGGTAATAAATAAATAAATAAATTAGCATTCAAAGTATATTCTACATCACCTTAAAACATGGGTTTATCACCTAAACCAAGCACCATATGCATTCTGTTTTCATCCCAGCCCTT